TCAACAAATAAAATTAAAAAGCCTCCGAGGTAAGTATTTATAAAATTGTGAGGATGTTTTATTTCAATATTAATTTTGAATTTGCTTTTTGAAAAAGGTGACATAACAGTGAGAATTATAACAATATTTAGATAAAACATAATTATTATTCTAGTGATTCTATTGTATAATGCGCTTATTATTATGCAACGGTTGCATTATATCATTTTAATTAATATTTATGCGTGTGTATAATTAATTATGTATAATTAATTATTATGTATATGTAAATGTATACATATCTGTAATATTTGAATGATAAATTATAACTTTTTATTATATAAAAGAGTATGTCACACATGAAAATTCTTTATTAGATTAATATAATGGAAGAGAGAACGAGAACAAGTTTGAGAAGATGATATTTATATATGTAACTCTACATTTTGCTTTTATAAAATTAGGATCCTCAATTGTACTGTAAAAATTTTGTCTTCACTTATAATGAAATTTATCACCTTTCTGATCTAAAGAGTAAAGAATAAAGCGGAAGATGTGATCAAACGTTCTAATATAATCTCGTGTTCTTTCAAGCCGAACACTTCTTTAAGCTTGCCAAAAGCTGCTTCACGGAGCAAAAAGATTATTATTGATGATTCCTCGATTTGCAATCCTTATGATACGAGATTCTGTAAACACTCGCAGAGGTTTTTTTATTTTGTCAGTTAAAAATCTAGATCGTGCAAACTTTTATCTTCTTGCTCACAGCAACATATAGAAAATTACAAGAATTATATATAGATATTGATATAAAAAAAATAATACATATATAAAGCAATATAAAAATGAATACATAGCAGCATTACATAATAGTAATAGTAATAGTATTAAAATATTTAAATAGATAATCATCGCAATCCTAAATCGTTTTAGGAATTATTTAATAATAAAAAAATATTTGTGTAAATATAAAAGAGGACCTCTTTTCGGAATACAGACTTTCTTCACGATCTAAAAATTTTAGTGAAGAAAATTCATACGAAAACTGCAATTATCTACGTGGATCGGCTGAAAAGCAATGAACAGTCGTTCGTAAATGAAAAGAGAAAATTCTAATGAAACAAAAAAGGTATAAAAGTGCATTTTATTGGTTATTAGAACGTACCATTATTTTTCAATGTAGTCACTATTTTTATCCAAACATTTCTCCCAACGGTGAATCAGTTTCCTCATCCAGTCAATGAAGAATTCCGGCGATATTTTCTTGATTCATGACTTCATTATGTTCTTCAGTTCATCATCCGAAAAATGAATTCTAGTAATCCTCATCGTCGTTTACAAATCGTTTATAGTGATGAAGCTAGATTGAGATACTGCGAATGCTGTGTGTGCAATAAATTTTCATGCGTCGGGAGCTGACGGATTTAATGTCCTGCGATATTTATTTTTCTTTATATTTAAAGAGAGAACATTTATTAGAGCATTATTTTATCACGGATAATGAAGTAAAGGGCACAGTGAAGTCGTGGATCCTCAGGAAAGACCATCGGAATTCTTCACTGATGGGATGAGAAAACTGATTTACCGTTGGGAGAAACGTGTAGCTGTAAATAGTAACTACATTGAAAAATAATGGTATGTTCTTGTAGTCAATAAAACACTTTCATGTTTTTTTTTTCGTTTTATTCGAGTATCTTTTTCTGTATGTGGGTGTTTCCAAGTTACGTGCTACTATTCATTCCTTTTCAGCCGACCCACGTATTCTCAATGCCTATAAATATCGACAGCTTGAAAATAATCAAGAAAAAAAACAATAATATTTTCTAATATTTTATACTTGTTATTTATAGCGACGAAATTTTTATGAACTTTTTGCAAATTATTTCTGGTATCGTTTGGAATTAGATATTTCTGACGTTTAACTAGCATAAACATCTTCGGTATTTCAGTTACAAATTCTAGAATCCGAGATTCGCTTCGAAACGGCTATGCTATTCCAGAATTCAAGTTTCGGCGAACATGCTCCTGAATTCAAAGCGCTCTTTTGCATTAAATATGTAACTTTGCGTGCTCGAGCCTCGAAATTTGATGACATCGCAGTGCGATTATTCCCGGGGCGCTTCTTAATAACGCTCTTCGTTTAAGTGAGATCAACAAGTTAGTTTCGTTACACGTCGCGTACACGCTTCGCTCTCACACGCGCTCAAAAGTGGTCCATTGTTTTGCACAATTAAAATGATGAATCCCGTCGGCACACTAGACCGATATTCACAAGCTGTCCGACTAGGAACATGTAGGGACAGAAAGCTTTTGTCTTGTAAAGCGTTTTGTGTGATGACTTCTACTATCATCAAACAAGCAGTTGATGCTGCGTGTTGCAGTTCTATATTCGAGTTGGTGTTGGCGCTTCGACGCGTTTGCAATTAGGCGCGATGACATTTGTGTGCTCGTGGTTTATTAATTAATGATGGTGGCATTGTTTCTGGAAAGTGTGATGCGGATTTAGCGATGTGGTCGGCCACGACGAAATTGCGAGTCTGGAGGTCTCTGCGACAACATTGGGAATTGCATCGAACGCTGTTATCGCTTGACATACACGAGTGACTCAACTTTACATGTATGTGTGTGTGTGTGTGTGTGTGTGTGTGTGTGTGTGTATGTGTGAATATTAATAGTAGAGTCATTGTTTACGTTCTATCGAGTGAATAATTATCAACAAGATCAGATATGATTCAACGTTATACCGAGCTAGAACTTACGAATTTATAATTTCAGAGATTGGGGGAAAAATTATATTACATATTATGATTACATTTACATTGCATTTATTTTATTAAATATTATGAAAATGATTTTAATGAAATTTTTATCATATTCTTAACTTTAATATTTTTAATAATATTTTTTAATTATTCTTTTATCTTCATAAATCTTCATTTATTAGATAAACATCTTTTGCTCGGAGCAATTCCAAGTTTGATTATTATTTTATACTTAATGTGAAGTTAGTTATTGAAACAGCGACCACTCTAATTAGGAAAATTAGTGAAACTCCATTGCTTGAGGCTACAACTAGTTTCTGCATCTGCGGAGTTTGTACGTAGCTTACCGCGATGAGGTG